CTGCTGCTAAATTTTTTCTTATGAACAACTTTTGAATTGTCTCGGGAAGACCATCAGTTTTTGGAAAAGCCCCAAAAGCTCTGAAATTTTTTTTCCACTTTGGTTCATCCAGAGCTGCGTCTTGATCTGTCGGATTTGGTGAAACCTCCATATAAATCCACCCCCACAGAAAGCACCAATGCTGGGTAGTGTGCAGACAGACCTGGGTCTGTGCTGGAGGTAAGGGAGGAGGACGAGCAGTGCTTCTAGAACTAAATTAAAGCTGTCTCTTTAGGCCTAAAAATCACTATGTAAGCACTATTGGGACAGAGACTTAGATTTGTTATTTGAAGATGAAAATATTAATTTGAAAAGGATTTCAGGATTATGTTTCTAAAGAGACAAGATTGTACTTCCAGATGAGCCATGTTAAGAAATCTGAAAACAGGTAGGTGTATCTACTGTTGATGTGAGCAGCTCCCCATCTTCAATACGGAAGTTTAATTCAGGCTGAAATTACACTGTAAACTTCCATCTCAGAGTTCAGAAATTCCAATTTAAATTTTTCCTTCATGAAATTTAAGTCTAACCACCGAGGTCCTGTTAAATATTGTCAGAATTATAGAGAGCACCAAGTAAAGCCCTGGGAGTCCCTAAAATTAGCAGGTCGAATTCTGTAAACACAAGAACAGTCTTGATTAATTTCATATGAGTTGTTCATTTTGGATTAGAGGGCTACATCAACTGCAGGACTGACTGATCTAGCCTTGAGTCTTGGCAAACTGATACAGCATCTATTTAGAAACAGAGAAAACAATGGCTGTGTCCCAATGTTTGCCCTACTCACTATATAGTGCACTGTGTAGTGGTTATACCATTTTAGATCAGTGTCCGAACGTCTAGTGAATGAAAAAGTAGTGGAAATTTCCCACAGTGCACCTTTAAAGTAGTGATCATCTCTGGTCACTAGATGAGTAGATATATACCGGAAGGTTCTCCATCATGCGACTGGCTCTCACAGTGGCGTGCTGTCTCTTCCCAACAGCAGTGACAAATAAAGATGGCACAAGGAACAGTGCGGGGAGGCGGACTCACGTGACCAATGGGAAGTGAAAAGTAAGATCATCTGTCCAAACGGACAGTTAACAGAGTTCACAATAAAGTCCACTATATAGTCCCCGCTCCATATAGTGAATGAGAGTTAGGACGGACGTTCGGATACGGCCAATGGGTGTAAACAGCACTATCTACCAGTCCTGTGGAGATTTGATCTTATGTTCCACAGTTTTACTCCGGAGGGGCCAAGGTAATAAGTAACATAACCAGCTGCACGGTTTACAACCAGGAAAACTGCTGTGACTCTGATTATTCAATACCGGGTACATTTGTAAATTCAAAATCATATCCGGAGGTGGCCAGCTTAAATTAAGCATCTCTGACCAAACCGTTTAGAAAAGGTCCGTAAATAACTGTGTGCTTGAGACAAGAGGTTAATAGCACTATAATCTACTAAAGTAAAGCCATTGTGTGCAATCACTTTTCTAGTTTTGGTTCCCAAACTCAGCCACTGTTGTCCTCCTTTAAAAAATATATATACATATAAAAATAAAATAAAAACTTGGGTGTAAAACTGTGCCCCAACATCAGTGCCTAAAATAAAGAGGTTTCTTAGAATTTGAGGCTTCACTTTCCTCTGGATTTGAAGATCCTTCAAACTGTTTGTTCAGGCTTTCATAACAAGAACAGCTAAGCTTTGGGCCTTAGTGCCCTCTCTCTCTTTGACTGCCAGCTTTCCCCCCCCCACATTTAGCTGCCGCAGGAGAACATAGCAATTATTTGACCAACATGGTCACAAAGCGGTTCAAGCAGGTAATAGTTGAGAGATAAGTGCTTTTATATTAATGGTGCTTATTTTCCATAATACTCTACTTTAAACTCCAAAGATTTTCTCCTGGACATGGACAAACATGCACTAGCTGGGCATCATTGTTGATGTCTAATCTACTGATTCAAGCTCTCAGGTTTTTTTTTTTTTTTTTTTTTTTTTTTGCCGATTTACCAACTATATATATTTTTAAATCAACAATCCTCTTATCTAGTGTATAAGAAAGAGGGACAATGTTGATGTTAAATGATAATTACTTTTTATAATACATACACCTGTTCATGTCATGTAGCTGAACTTTTTCTGACAAGATGTCAGAAAGATCAACTCATTATACTGCCAGTATAATAGATACTACACAGGGGCTTTATTCTTTTCTGTCAACATTTAATTTCTGTTTTTGTCACAATGATCCACCGTATTAGAGAGGTACGTTTTATAGCAACATATGCATAAAACATTAAGTTTAAAAGAAATAAAATGTGCACATAATGAAATAGCATGAATACCATTTACCAAATGACTTCCAACAAACATTTAGAAATCCTTTTCTGTGACGTAAAAATGAAATGAATTTTTATTGCTTGTTGAAGTGGGGGGATTTTGGCGGGGAAGAGCAGCCCATTGTTTACTGTAACATGACCAGCTCCAAACACTGAGAAGACAGGAAAGCCATTAGCTTTATATTGTTTATTAGGAGACATGGAAGAAGAAAAACGTTTTGGAATATGGAGAAAAGTCAAAAGACTTTGTGGAAGTAAGCAATATTTAATGATACCTATATAAGCCTGTAGCTTTGACCTATTAATACATATTAAAACTAGCCTTGTGAACTACATTGAAGGCTTTACGTCAGCTATCAGCAATGTAGCTTCTTGCTTCTCTTCAATACCCATTTACCTATAAACCTGTGATCCACCTTGATGCTTGCCCACATCCTTCTCTCCAAATGTATTGCTTTAAAAAGACAGCCATCCTGTGTTGTTATTGTTGGAATAGTTTACCCGAAAATCCAAATAGTTTCAATTGCTTCTGGGTTCTGGAATGGGTTAACATTGACGCTATACTCTCCAGAACACCCTCCAAAAGGTTTGGTGTAAAACTTCTGTGTGCTAGCAGATGTTTTAATAAGAGAAGAGGAGCATGAGACCTAGTCGGGAGTTCAGACAATTTTTACCTCAATTATTCTGTTTTGGTTTTAAATTAAATTTAAAATCTAAAAGCAATCATGGCATGTCAAGATGAGGTGGGAGATTTGGAGGTCATGGACAAACCAACCACCTCATCCTCGCACTTTAGTGCCCTATGTTTTGTTGTCCTTAAGGCCAGAGGGAATGAAAAATTGTTTGGACAAGGATAGTTTGAGAAAAAAAAAAAAAAAAGGTGCCATCTGTATGTCTGCATGAGGGCCCTGCACCACCATCTGTGTGTTGACATCACAGTCCTCTCTGTCCTCCACCGTGCCTGCAGGCTGGACAAGGAAAGAAAGGAACGTGTGCCACCAGAATCCAAACTGCTTTCTTAATAAGCACTAAAGATTTAACCTAAGCTAAAAATGTAAGCTTTCTAAACAGAACAATTTGGGGATGGCTTCACTTTGACCATAAGGATATTTGGGGGAAAAAATGAACAAAAACAAGAAATTTAGACAATCATAACGAAAACCAATCAGATTTCTTTAGAAAACTGATTAGATTGTTAAAATAATTACCCCACAAGCACCCCTGATTTAATGAATGTTCCTTTAGACTGAGCTTAGGTTGTGAACTAACAAAGATGCCAAATCAAAGCATCCAGTGTTCCGAGAGTAAAATTACCACCATTTAGCTTTGGAATGTTAACCAGAGCCAACAGGCAATGATAGAAAAAACCACCATCATTATCAAGTCTATCAATAAGTGAATTAACAAGTCATCAGAAGTTTAGATTACAAAAGATCTGAATTTGGAAATAATATGCTGAGGACAGGAGGAGTGGATGTGGTTTCCCGCTGACTTCCAGAACTAAAACAAATAGTTGTCGCAAGGACATGCCTGTTTGCTAAGCAACTATATACAAAAGTATGTGAAACTGAAATAAATGTGTTAGCAGATGTTATGTACTTTTATCACTGTCTCAGGTGTTGCCATTTTCACACATCCCTTAAAAGGCAAAACATTCCTCTTCATCCTACCACTAATTCCTGAGGGTAGAAAGTAAGGAAATGTCATTAATAACAGCCCTAAAAATGAAAAATTTAAAATGAAGTCAAGAAAAAAAAAAAAAAAAAACGCAAAAATGCCAAAGGAGCTTTATTTAAAAAAAAATTAAAATGTGCAGAGGTATGTCTATGTTGCTCTGAGGCTGCTAGTTTGAACAGGAAACTTAACTGCAGCTGATAACAGGAAGGCTAACCACCTCACAGCCAAGTTACCGTTTGATCCCTTTGAGCTTGTCATGCAAGATTGGATGAAAATAATTGGCAGCTTTCAAACAAAAAAAAAATAAATTATATTTTATATATATATATATATATATATATATATATATATATATATATATATATATATATATATATATATAAAAGAGTTTAGATAAATTCCATAAAAAATTCAATTTTTTTAGAAGATAAACAATTTTGAAAAATGTTTAAAGTAAATACTATCCTAATGCTAAAAACAAGCAGAAAGCAGAAATTGTAATATAAAACCTTGAAATATTATGAAACTGATAACCAGTTCAAACTTGGACTCAAGTGGACCCTTCTGCAAGTTTCTTCCTGTGATTAAAATAATGCAGAAACCGATGGCTTTCAACTGTGCAGAAGCTGTTAAAGGAATGCTAATCGATGATAAACAATGATTGGTTTCTCTAATTTTATGGATCAGTCTAAATGGGAAGCACTTAGTGACACACCATTATGGATTCAAAGCCCTGCAATTCTGTTTTGATTGATAGGGTTACCAGTACAACTATGCCTGTAGTCTGCAAGGTTAGGATTAGACTTAACTCACCGTATAAAGTTACAGGAATGTTAGCCCATGTTACCATGGTTACAATGAATTTGCCAGCACTACACAAGTCCTTGTACGTTATTGGAAAATAACGTATACAGGTGGAAATAATGTGAAATCAGCTCCAATCAGCCAACACTCACCTGTGTTTCTGAGGGAACGTTCATTTGTTTTCTGTCCGCTCGGTAAAAAGTTGAGCCCAAACGGGGACAAACTGCTGACAAAGCCGAAGTTTTACAACGAGAACAAAAGAAAAAACAGCGAGCTACTGGGCTGGTTTGGAGTAAGCGAAAAATAGCCGTCCTGCTTTCAGCGTGGCTGACTCCTCCGTCTGCCTCTCTTTCCGTGGGTTTGAGCAGGGATACGTCCTGTACTCCGGCTAGCTGCACTAAAAGGTGGGAGGAGAGAGGCTCGGTCTACTTTATCTCCAGCCCTGGGTGTAGTGAGGGAGGGGAGTGTCACCGGGATGACTTTATTCCAGCTCTGCGCGTTCACGGTGCGTGAAAAACACACGGTAATCAGAATACACAAACATAGGAGGAGATAAACATATGTTATATTTTAACTTCGTTCAAAAATATGATACAAATTTTACTCTAATCACTAGAACAACTGGCTTACTTGCAATTAAATCATACCGGTTTTTAGTTAACAAATGTTTGTTGGTCCAAACTCTGATGTGTTTGAACGCAACACAAGGCTCGCTATCAAAAGACATTTGATCGCTGTTATCATTTAAGCAAACGTTGCACAAGTTTGGAAAGGTTCAGAAATAAACATAATCTTTGGTAATATCAACAAAATGTTCCACGTTTTATCACTGATAAGTTTAATGTCTTAAAAATGTGTCTGAATCAATCAAATTTTATTGCAATAGATAAAGAAGGCTATAAGGTTTTAGCTATAGAAGCAGAGGCGTAGCCAGAAAATGTTTGTTAGGGGGGCCAGGCTATAACCAATATACACTGAGGGGTGGCACCAGAACCTCAGAGTCAATCTACACTCTTCCAACAAGAAAGTTAATGAGCAAAACATTCATATTTTCTAAATAAAGACAAACTTTACTTTCCTACAGCCTTTGCTAACAAATAGGGGCATACATTTAAACATCCATGCTTTCTAGATAAAAGGTATAGTGGATAAAATCCTTTCAGGTTTGAGTTCTGGGGCACATCTTTTCCATTGTCTTTACTTACCTATGTTTATCAACAATCCTTATGGATAAAATTGATATTTACAAGTACTAATATTTACATGCATTGATAATGTAATACGTTTTTATTAAAATACTTATGTATCTATAATTGCACTGAAGACTCCTAGATGACTTACAGAGACACATCATTTTCTCTTTACCCCATGAAACATACAATCTAGTTATGGAAAGAACATGAATTCTGTACTTATTATCTTTAATGTTAGTATATTGATGTGCATAATTAGCCACAGTGCTTTTTGTTGTCAAGTAAATGTTAGTATGTGAAAAATTTTAATGTTTTTAATGTGCCCCTTGAGAGTATTACTGCTGCCATTGTCTGTATTAGAGGGGGAAAATGGCTAAGGGTGGCCATGGCCACCCCTGTCCCCCCATCTAGCTCCACCCAAGTATAGAAGGGCTTATGTACACTCAAAAATATTTCACCCAAATTTTAAGATTTAGCTATGCAATTTTATTGCAAATTCTAATATACTTTTTAAAGAAAATTTTTACACAAATCTATTAGGGCTAAAACAATAAGATTAATCACAATGAATCAATTATTGAACTAATTTAGTAATTGATTTATTGGTTACTGTAGTATAGAGACTCTAAAATAAGTCATTAACTATAAAAACAACCCTCTTAGAGCAGTAATTATAACAAAATTACAACAACAAAAAAAGAAATATTTAGCATTTAGGATAATAAAAAAAACTTTTGCCGGTCAATTTGCTGTATACAGAATTCCACAAGTGGGAAGTTTTAGTTTCATCCTGTTTTATTCTGTAAAAATCTTCTTTACGGAACTTTTTTCTATTGATTATGATATGATAATCAACAGATTAATCGATTACAAAAATAATTGTTAGTTGCAGCCCTAAAATCGATGAAATAAACCTTACATGATGCATGCTTAGTTTATTATGGTTTATTTGATTTTCAGGTTTATGTATTTAGAATAAAGTGGTGCAGTCACTCATTATCAAAAAGTTTATTTTATTTTAATTGCATAATAATCAGGTTACCTTAATGCATTTCACACAATAAATTATAGATCTGAAATAAATACACTCATTAGTATCAATTTTGAGTACCGTAAGTATGCTTCATTAATGTTAAGTAAATAAAAAAAAATTTTTTATTTCAAATAAATAAGCTTTATTAATTTACCAGTCTCTTTGCCAGTCAATATTAATTAATTGCAAATGAATATGGATCATCTAAGGTTTATTTGATAGGTTTGTATTGAAATCATCCTCTCTTTTAAGTACCACCTCCCTCGGATCTCGCTCATATTCTCCCGGACTTCTGAAGTTCAGTCTGCAAAACCCGCTGAATCAAACCCCTTCAGATCCTTGCTACCTCCCTCCATCTCTCAAGTAACCAAATCAATCAGCCTCCAGTTGTCATCATCCAACTCCTTCCGGATCAGTCTGCTTTCTCTCCTCAGACCAACCAGAAAGTTCAACTGACTTCCTGCAATTCTCCCACTTCCAGATCCTTTTTTGCTTTTTTAAATAAAATTATACAATTCACAAGTTCTCCATATGATAATGCACGTGGGTCAAAAACTACAAACCAACATGTTATGCCTTGTAATCCTTGCCAAACAAACAGATTTGCTTGTGAAGTGGTGGTTTTCTAATATGGCCATAATCAATTAAATATGACCCCGGCTCAAAGATAAGTGAACAAGCTCACTGTTATAACTGGATATGTGAATGATTTACCCTGTAACCTATTACAAGAGTTGTAAAAAAATATATAGGGGGCATATCTAAATAAACTTTGCACATCTGGAACAGATTTTTTAAGTCATTCTTTGAAAATAAATATTCCTACAATAACATCTGATAAACTAACATTTTTAAGTATCATCACAGGTTTTCAGATGGTTGTATTGCTGATGTTTTACTTGGACATAAAACACACCAACATGCTACAACCTAAACTGTTGCTCTGGCTGTATGTTTACACTTTTGTCTCAATAAAAAAGTAAAACCTTTCACCAGGATAATGTTATCAGAGCTTTTCTGACACAAATAGCTTTTTGTATGTAGGTCAGGTACAATTTAGGTTTGATTTGACCAGAGAACTCTTTTTTTTTTTTTTTTTAGCTTCAATTCAGTTTATTGATACACCACCAATTCACAACAAGTCACATCAAGGCACTTTACAGATAAAATGTAAAAAGGTACAGTCAGTTGATAAAACGTTTATTTCAAGGAATCCAGCTCTCTGCATTGAGTCAACGACTTGCAGGACACATTCCTCCTGGATGAGTTTGTGGTAACGATATTAAATTTTGCCATAGACTCGACAGCAATCCCTCACACCAAGCATGAATGCAGCGACAATGGAGAGCAGAAACTCCCTTTTAACAGGAAGTAACCTTTACTTGAACCAGGCTCGGTGTGAGTGGCCAATTTTTGAAAGATGCTCATAACTGACCACCTTCTTTTTTTTTTGCAAAGCATCAAACAGCCAACACAAAAGAAACACAAGATAGTTTGTAGAAGAGATAAATACCTAGGATAAGATGAATTTTGGACAGCTGAGGGTATCTGTTTTTAGCATTTTGTCTTTTAAAGTACAGATTTGTCATGTATTTTATGTATTGAGACATTTCTACCAACCTCATTTTAAGGGTAATTAAAAATTTCAATGTGCATTCTGTCTAAGAGAAAAGTTGACAGCTGAAATTAGAGCAGAAAGTCTAGAAACCTCACTGCCAAAAGGCAAAGAATAAAAATGATGTGGATTGGGGGTCCCTTAAGGATGCTGCATGAGAAAATCTCATGTGATATTTGTTCAAACTTTTGGAAAGTCTTTTCAGTCAGTAGTTCACCCTTTTATTCAGAGTTTAACTTGAAACCTTGTGACTCTGAGAACAGAATGGTAACTTTGCAGAAAAGCGGCTGAGTTATTTGGACGTCAGCAGAGGAAGTGATTAATTTGGTGATTTCACTTTTTAGCTTCACTTTTTAGATCAGGTTTAATACACATTGAAAGATTTTTTTCTGTATAATGTGCAAAGGATTATGTCTGCTTCATTATGCAGGTTAGTGTCAAACATCAACATTTCTGATAGAAATTTGCTCATCTGACTTAGGAACAATTTTTTTTTACCTACGGTATATAGAAACCTACTACTATATGTTTTTGTTTAATTTAACAGGATGATACTTGTTGACTTCCTGCACTGTTACTCCATGAACTTCTGCAGCCATGAGACACATCCAACATGTAAATCCTGAGCAACATGGTGTAACACAAATAATGTTCAACATTCCTCCTTAATTGTGGCATGTGTTGTGTTTAAATACATTCAAAACAAACGAACAAAAAATTTTTTTTATATTTTATGATGGTACCTGCTTAAAAGTAAGTACCAAACAACAAATGTAACTTTGCATGTGCCATAGAAAAGGGTTCATATTGAAAACCCTGTTGAATTAAAAGTACCCTGTTATTACTGGATCAATGCTGGATACCCAGTGTCTTCCACTTAATAAAGGAACATTTAAAGCTGCACATGAGACCCAACGGAGATTGTCCTCATTCAGACATGCACTGTGTATCTAGTTGAGGGAAAAAAATTATTAATTGATTTTTGTCGCAGAAACATCACCCACAGTCAGAATCAAAGCTTTATTTATTTAGGAGTTATGAGCTTCTCTGTTCTATTAACTACACTGCACAGAATTGAATTGTATTAATATCCCCCAGTAAATTGGAAAAAAAAAATACAGGAGCTGACTAGATAATCTCTGGATTAAAGAAGGAACTATGGAGATTCTCCGTTATATCTTGGATTAACGGTGAAACTAACATGTTGTGCTTGAGCTTATGATGTAAAGATGTCGTCCTGTGTCCAGCATAAAATCTATCCCCTATTTAAGTTTAAAATCTTAATTCTGTGGATGCATCAAAGTGAAAAAACAAGGACAATATGCCTCTGTATGTTTTTCATGATGTCTTCAAGTCCTCATATCTTGTGAATGCCACTGGAAGTAGAATTTGAGCTGACCCCAGGCATAACTGCACCAAACTGCTGCTTAGGGACCCCAAACCAGCACGAATCTGCCATCTTAAAAGAAAACTTGTTAAAATGATTTGAGAATGGGGCAGGGTTGCACTGCATAACACGACAGCAATTCTGAACAACAGTAGCACACTGCATTCAGATTAATTGGGCCAGTCAAAGTGTAGACCCAATCCAAATGGTGTATCTGTGGAAAAAATGATT